GTTTGGAGGAGTCTTGAATTCAATTCGATACATATTTTCTCCTGCCAAAAATTCTTAACCGAGAAAAAATATTTTGAACTTGAGAATAGTCGTTCTATTTGGTCTATAACATTGAGTCATATGGAGGAATAAGATTTCCAACCTTAAGTTCTCGGTTCCAAAATGCGGCTCTATGCGTTTTTGTGAAACACTGTCCTTTGAACTCCTAAAAATAGTTTTAAATGACTGTAATCATTATTTTTCTGTTTTAGGTAAGAGAACAACAGCCTTCTCAACTAATCTTCTTCTCAGAATGAAATCGTGGCAAGGTAAATCATGAATCACCTTTTATTTACTTCTTTAAAATGATTTGTTCTTTTTTTTCTGTTGTTTAATGGCTTTGTGACATGATTTGTTCTTGGTGGCACACATAACTCAGTTGTTCCCTAGTATATATCCAGTGGTGTGACGTGAATTGCGATGTATCGATTGATATGCCATTTAAACCTATGGTAAAGAATCGATTATTAAGGTGTTCTCTGCGAACACCCTATTTATCGATCTTTCCTACAGGTTTAAACGGCATAACAATCGATATTTCGCAATTCACACCACGCCACTGTATATATCGATGACCAAAGTGCGGAGCCACGTATGTCGATTGCAGTGTTTAAAAATTCCGGTTCCTATTCTATGTTTTCCAATAGAAACAAACCAATTTCAGAGCTTGAAATTTAAACAGAACGCCCTCCTGGTGGGGAAGGAAAAGCATCTAAGTTTTCAGGAAATTTTTTGGCTATTTTTCCAAAGCAAAAATAAAATATGCCAGGAAGTCTGCAACATCAGAAGTGGAGATACGTGGTTTCGCACTTGAGCCATCGATATACAACATGATGATCAAATGGACTGCATTTTGCAATTTGGAACTATAAATTCTGGCTCATCTGAAGAAACACTTATGTGCATAGGGAAACTAATGGCCCATACGTTGTTTTTAAACCGGGCCAGAATTTACAGTTCCAAATCGCAAAATGCAGTCCAAATGACGTACGAATTTCCGCGCGATTCTCTTCACCAAAAGTTTTTTACTCGTGTGGAAAACTGCCGTGCTAAGGAACAACGCCGTTTGTTCCTTCAATAGTTGCCAAATTTGCCGGTATAAACATGTATTTTTGAGGTAAGTTACGCATTTTATTTTTTGAAATTTTCAGATATTTTAGATTAAATTGTTTCCAAAATGGTATGAAACATTTTAAGAAAAATGTCTTACAGTTTCCTTGAAAATCCGTATTTTATCGGAGGAAACTTGGCAACGCCTGACGTAGGGTTGCCACAGTCAGGGAAAACCGGGAATTGTCAGGGAATTTTAAAAAGTCAGGGAAAACCGGGAAATGTCAGAGGAAATGACAGAAATGACGAGAATGTCCGGGAAAATTTGTTTAATCACTTTCACTTGCTTTCTAGAATGGGTTTGAGGTTTCGAACAACAAATTTTGCCTGAAAACTATTTTTAATCATGCCTTCTTAACCATCCGTCATAATCATCAATTGTCAGGGTATTCCACCAAAATGTGTCAGAGAAATCAGGGAAATGTCAGAGAATTTCATTTTCTAAATTTTGTGGAAACCCTGATATTATTCATTGAAATTTTAGATTAAATTGTTTCCAATAAGGTCTGACAAATTTTAAGCAAAATATCCAACAATTTCCTTGAAAATCCTCATTTTACCGGAAGAAATTTGGCAACGCCTGAAGGCTCTTACGGCGTTTTTCCTTAGCACGGCAGAGTACTATCGTGCTAAGGAAAGACGCCGTATGAACCTTCAGGCGTTGCCAAATTTCCTTCGATGAAACACAAATTTTCCGGATGAAATTATGAATACAGTAGACTCTGGATTATCCGGCTTCGTATTATCCGGACTCTGGATTATCCGGATCGATTTTGCAACCATTAAACTACGTACGCACTCCGATAAGTGAGCGGATCCGCGGAGAAGCGGTCGCAAAGCATATTGGCGCCTGCAAGGCTGAAGGAATACTTCACGCATTGCGCCAAACAGTGAGGTTGGCGTGGAACGCATTAGCGCCTACTAGATTGCATAAATACTTCTCGCATTACGCCAAACGCAGTGCAGTCGGTTAGTTAGCCTAAAACGCACATTAGCGGCTACGCAAGACTGTATGAATACTTAAAGCATTGCGCGCTTTAATCGTTGTATTGTAATTTATCGTTGTCGGCTACCATTCACAATCACCATTGAGTCGCTCAATTTGGCGTTAACCTTTTAAATTCGTGTTGGTATGCACATGATGTATACATAATTAGAATACTGTGGTGTTGGTTGGTGGTGTTTGTGTTTACTATTATTATCCGGATTTTTTTTTATCCAGATCGGGCCCGGCACCAATTAATCCGGATAATCCAGAGTCTACTGTATTTTCCTTCCAATTTTTCAGATAATCCCGTTTGCAATTTCACCTAAAGTTTCTAAAAATTCAAGGAAAAACATCGGTAACTTAACATCCCTATAAAATAAACGTTTTATCGCAGGAAATTTGGCAACTCTCGAATGTTCATACGGCGTTTTTCCTTATCACGGCAGAGTAGACCCATCTCGTGCAGAACACGGCAGCCTGCCGTGCCCCCGCGGATGAGCGAAATTCCGTCTCGGGAAAATCGAACGAGTATTTTAATTGCAACTTTCGGGTGCATCTGTCGGCTCCGTGACGACGCGGCTCAGCCAACGGCGCGCGTGCAGTATGCACACCTGTGCACTTGTGCAGTTGGCGCGTAATTGAAATTTTGCGTCACGGGCGACCGTAAAAACTGCAGTGTGCAAACGCTGCGCCCGCGCCTCAAATAGGCGATCAATAATCGCAATTGACGAAGCGGGAAATTGCGCCGCGAAGACACACAATGAGCTTTATCGCAGGGTGTCTACAAGTCCGGAATTTTCGGAGAGTCCGGAAATAGTACGGATTTTTTAAGACCGGTCCGGAAGTACTGAAATAGCGCGGAAATTCCGCAAGAAGGTCCGGGATTTTTTTGTCGCAATTTGAGCAAGAAATTCAAAATTTTGAAATTTTTCGAATCTCGTCAATAGGAGGTACTGAAAAAGTACTGAATGTCTCTGTTGAGGAGGTACTGAATTTCTTGGAAATAAACTGAATAAGCACTGTAAAAATATTGATTTTTGGTCAGCCTGTTTTAGTAGACTCGAAGATACACAATGAGCTTTATTGCAGGGTGTCTACAAGTCCGGAATTGTCGGAAAGTCCGGAAATAGTACGGATTTTTTAAGACCGGTCCGGAAGTGCTGAAATAGCGCGGAAATTCCGCAAGAAGATCTGGAATTGTGTTCATTTTTTGGGGGAGGGTGTCATTTTTGTCGCAATTTGAGCGAGAAATTCAAATTTTTGACATTTTTCGAATCTCGTCAATGTGAGGTACTGTAAGAGAACTGAATTCTTATGTTGAGGAGGTACTGAATTTCTTGGAAATATACTGAAAAATTACCGTAAAAGTATTGATTTTTGGTCAGCCTGTTTTAGTAGACACCCTGTTTATTGCCTTTTCCCGAAAAAAAAAGCGTCACATGTTTTCACCAGTTGAGAATCATTAACTCGGTCTGCTGTTCCCTGCGTCCTCAGGTCCAGTAATGAAAGTTCTTGAAAAAATTCGCGGAAAATCGAAACTCGTATACAAGTTTGAAGATCAGTGGTTTAAAACTTCATTTGCCTCATTGAATATTACTCAAAATCAATTCAATCGAATGGAGAATTTGCCTGCAAATTTTTTATCGCTTCATCTGAATGTACTTAAAGAGCTGATATCACAGTATTTTTTATAATTTTTTTCTGATATGGGAAATAGCATAAAAACAGATTTAAAAGTGAGAAAATGCACCGACCAGTGACATCAGGCGGCATTCCCCATTTAAACACATGTATTTTGTCAAATTAGATAATTTTGTTATATCTTCTCTAATAATTGTTCAATTCATGAACCAAGGGTATCCTCGTGTTCAGTTCACTCAGTAGTTTCCACTTGAACACGAAATTCATCAAATTTCAGACACCTCCAAATTCTCTATCGGCAAGATTGTCCAAGTCTGGATCGAAGTTTCTTTACACTGGTAAAAAAAACCTCTTGGTTCAAGAGTGCAGTTTCTTGGAGCCGGATTTAAGAGTCTGAACTCTTGTTTCAAGCGGATTTTGAATTGAATCAATGCAAAATCCACTTGAAACAAGAGTTCGAGACTCTTAAATCCGGCGACAAGAAACTGCACTCTTAAATCAATGCACCGCGGCATTGGTCCAAGAGGTTTTTTTTTACCAGTGATAGGATAATAATTTTTACAAAAGACTTGCCAATTGAGCTCAAGAGTTCAGGTTTTTATTTCTTCATCCATTGGGATATTTCGAGCTGTTGGGAGTCTCGAAACAGACAGCGACGTTTCACAGTTTGTCGCATCTCTGACGTTAGGGCGTATCTCCATCTCCACAAGAGACCAAGGAAAGCATTGAGTCGTACGGAGAACAGAGCTCATGTGGAATTTGAGATACGACTTAACGACAGAAGCCGTTTTGAGCCGTTTTCGTCAGGAAGTTTTGCACTAGCTGAATTTTGCAACAGACTCATCACGACTTGAGTTATTTTTTCCCCTGAAAGCATGAAGGCTTCTCGTGTAGTATTCAATTCTGGAAACCAGAATACCGAGTCTTTATGCCCCAAAAAACGAAAGCAGGTAATCAAAATGATCAAAATTACAAAGTTAAGCGTTAAACTCCAGATGTGGTGCAGACATTACTCATAGCAACTCTCCGTATCCAGTGAAAGAGTCTTGCGTTTTCCTTGTCTGTCTCGTTGTCATGAAAACAAAAAACAAAAAAAAAAAAAACAAAAAAAAAAAACAGTTTGTTCCCGCGATAAAGCCCCTAAAAAATTGTCATGGTGTGGAACCCGTTACGTTTAACATGCAATCTCATACCAGGGATATGGGGTTGTCTCTGACATTGAGAGATCAGCAGGCTTTCAAAGTAGGAAAACTAGCTTGTAATCAACTTTTTCCCGATTTGAATCGGATAATGAAGTTACAAAACAGAAGTTGTAATATTAGTTATTTTTCGAGCCACGCCAGTCAGGCAGCAAATATAAATTGAATTTTGCTACTGGCCTCACACTCGATGGACACACCGCCTCGATTAGAGGGATTTCCCGAACGTTTTACTTCCGTTTGAGTGTCTCTCCTGTATGTAGCCGCGTCATGATACTCCTCGGCAGTCTCATCGTCGTGAACCTTCTTATCATCAGTCCAATTCTCTGTGATCGTAAGTTATCCTTCCGCCTATTATTCATCCGTGAACTTCTTTCATGGGCAATTCTACGAAAACTGTCCAATGGGCCTGTTGCAAACTTTTGCTAGAGCAAAACTAAGAGTTGTTTCTTATAGATAATGCCTCAAAAATCACGATGAGCGCATCGGCAAACTCTGAAATGCACTCATAACTTCACAATCTGCGTAAGAAATTTGCGGTTTTTTGAGCTTCCCGCTTCAAAAACGATACTACGGCACAGGTGAACATTTTGTAAGAGGAGTCGTTCCATCGTCGGCAATAATCACCATAGCCGACGCCAATCCGCCAAAACACGTTTGATGGGACGAGAAAACACCTGAACTGGATTAGACCAGATAACAATCGGTGTGATAACGTTCATATTTTCCACGCCCGAATTGATTGACCTTGAACTCTCCTTGAATTACGCGCGGAACTGCGTGCAAGCGTCGGCCATGATGAATATCGCCGACGATGGAGCGACTCCTCTAACAAAATGTTCACCTATGCCGTAGTATCGTTTTTGAAGCGGGAAGCTTAAAAAACCGCAAATTTCTTACGCAGATTGTGAAGTTATGAGTGCATTTCAGACTTTGCCGATGCGCTCATCGTGATTTTTGAGGCATTATCTACAAGAAACAACTCTTATTTTTGCTCTAGCAAAAGTTTGCAACAGGCCCATTCCAGTCATGATCGTTTTATTTGTAAAATTCGTGATAAAAAGTCTCACATTTCAACAAATATGATGGAAAATGTGTGTTTTTAACGAGTTATAACCATTACAATTGTGTAAATTGATGGATTACGCTTCATTTTAAGCTTTTACTGCTTAAAAGGTCACGACCGTCCCTGTCATGCTTGGTAGGTTCCAATGTTTACAACCTCGTAACTTTTGTTTGGTCTGATGCATTTTTCCGATTTTCGCACTAATTTCATCAAAAATGCTTGCAGTTGAGTAAACAATGCATTTGATTACGAAAAACATATGTCATCCACGAAAAATATTTCGAAAATATGCAGTCATAATGTTTCGAGTCACGACCGTCCCAGGTATTTTTGCCTGTCAAAACGGGCGTATCCCGATTCCCTCCCGCGGTCAATTTTTATAGCCCGATTCCCTCCCGAATATTTTTGGGAAAACCGGAGTGATAGCCCGATTCCCTCCCGCTTTATTTAACGATTTGACAACTGAGGACCGACAGATGCCCAACACTGATTACAGCTGGAACCAGTAAACGTCGATAAACTCATTATTTCCTCCCTCACTTTGGGCCGAAAAAACAGCAGCTCCCAGCAAAACTACGAACGCTTGTGAAAGTTTCCATTCAAAATTTAATTCTTTTTTTTACGAAACCCACCCCAACATTGTTATATTCTGTGAAATGTTAACCAGAGTTATGATAGACTCGCGAATCCTCATAAATTCCGCTGAAAAAACCAAGAACACGGTCAGGTCTCAGGTAAAGAAAAAACAAATATTCCTGCAAACACAAATAGACATATTAAATTCGGTTAATCCCGCATCGAAGGAAAAATTCAAAAAAGCCCTGCGTGATTTCCTATTTTGCGTTTCTTATAAAAACTCACCGAACAAATTCATCTGAAATTTCACTAATTTTTATTTGTTGACGAGGAACCCTTTACACTCCAAAGATTTTTTTGTACATCGCTTTTCGGACACACACTCATAGAGGTAAGCAACGTTGTCATTTCCCTATTTTGATTTTTTCACTTCATTTATGTCGTCGGGAGGGAATCGGGCCATGCCGATCGTGGGAGGGAATCGGAACCCCCAACTCCGGGAGGGAATCGGGCAACTCCCGTCAAAACGGCCGCTAGGAGCGGTTAAATCGCTGCGAAAATGATTCGAGGGTGTACAAGTGAAATGAAGCGAAGTGTTCCTACGGTGCAAGCTTGCACAGTAATCGCCCAAAGTCATTTCGAAGATTCTACAACGATTTGAAAGGAAATTGAATCGGTTTCTGTTATACGGGCGTAAGTCCAAAAATTTCAAAATCGTTTTTTTTTTGCATTTTTAGCCTCCTTTAGGGTACATACACATTTTCTGAAAAGATGGCGGAAATACATGATCAAACTTTTCCACTTAAGTATGTACTCACTTCTCAAACTCGCGCATTTCTAAAGTTTCTGTAACTTTTTTCATAATAAATGAAGAACATTTGTATTGAATTTGCATCTTGACCTAGCTGTTAGGTGATATAACTTCTTACTGAGCATTGATCACAAAAATACATGATTGAAATTTGAAAACTTGGTTTCAACACTTTTTTAAATGAAAATATCCCATGTCACCTTCATTAATTTTGGAAAAATAGGAGTAATTCTAGAAAATTTAGGCCTTTAAGTAAATTTAAAAACATATAATAACTCCCTATGCTATATAAAAGAAAAAAACCATGTGCTACATTTTTCAAACTTACTTTAATATTAGTTTTTTGGCTTGAAACTGTCTCAGTCATCCTTCGTTTTCTGGAATAAGGGCGTAAGTCCAAAACTTAAAATTAGCCTAAAAGGGTACTAAAATTTTTCTGAGCCAAAAAAACATTTCAGAACTTTTAAACGGGTGTTTATACAACATTTGAACCCTTTTTTGAAATTTAGTGGTGTCCTGCATAACGAGAAAATCAGTTTTTTGCCTCTCCTGAAAAATTTGGATTTGTGGACTTACGCCCGTTTAACAGAAACCGATTCAATTATACTTAACTGAACCTTTTTTTGCGTCACGACCGTCACGTCCTTTATTTTATGAAGCGTGTGATATTCTGAAAAATCTTTGTGCCCACTTGATAGCCCTTAATACCAATTGCAAGTTCACCAACTTTCGAGAATGTACCTCATTGCTGTTGAGTACACCCGCCGTTTTTGTTTAACATTTGTCACGACCGTCGCAGTCACGACCGTCGCACCGCATCGGACATTTAGTGAAAATTTCTCATGAAAAAAAAAACGCCTGATAAAAAAAGGTACTCGTACAGAATTTTTAAGCCTGATACTGCGCTGAACTAAGAAAAAAACTCTCGATCCAAAATAACATAGTTGAATTTTTAGTTTTTGAGAGGTCAAATTGGACAGTTTTCGTAGAATTGCCCTCATTCAAGCTTGTATTCATAGTCGTTCCTTAACAGCTCCTTGCCCTAAGAGGCCCCGGTCCCGTGTTTCCACCCCCCCCCCCCCCGTGGTCCCGTGGTCCCCGTGTTTTCCATGAAATTTAGATTGAGAAACATTAAGCATAATGCTGCAATTCGTACCTTGTCTATTGGTCCATTGACAATTTCACAACTGTTTTTAACTTTTATCTACAATTTTGAAACTTTAGAAGCGTTGCTTAACTCTCCTGTCTGCTCTCTGGAGGACAGTCGAGCGGAGAGCTTGACGGATTCCCCGGTGACTGACGACAGCCCAGTTCAATGACCCATTCCTAAAGTTTTACTCCTTAATTTTACGCAAGCTTTGCAAAAATGGAGATGTTGCATGTGTGAGGAATTTGCGATTTGACCATTGATTTTTATGTATAAGTTCGCGAGAAACACGATGGTGCCACTGGTTTTCTCTGAAATCAACTCCCAAGCTTAAAAAAAGCTCTCAAGTTGAGGCCAAAATGGAGGGGATATCTCACCCTACCCTGAGAGTCTACCTCCTACATCAAGACAAACTCTCCATGCAAAGATAGGGAGCAAATACATTAGCAGTGATGCCGTGTTTTCAGTTTTAGAGTCCCCAAATAAAGTGGCAGCCCTGTCAATGTATTTGCACCCTATCTTTGCATAAAGAGTTTGTCTTGATGTAGAGGTGGACTCTCAGGATACTGTGGGATATCCCCGGCCATTTTGGCCTCAATTTGAGAGATTTTTTGAGCTTGGGAGTTGATTTCAGATAAAACCAGTGACACCATCGTGTTTCTCGAGTTATACATATGATTCAATGCTCAAATCGCAAATCCCTCACACATGCAACATCTCCATTGTCATTTTTATGAAGCTATTTTGAGGGCACCATTTTGACCTCCCTGGGGCCGCCTAAGGAAAAGGAGCTGCCTCTCGCTCACAAAAATTCAACTCGAGTTGACTCATTCGTTCGACTCGAGTCAAATCAATCAAGTATCAATTAGTCGATTTTGGTGTATTTTACGAAGGAAGAATTTTCTCGCGCACTGAATTCGCGTGTAATCAAACCCTAGTTACATTTGCCTAACCTATCTAAGTCGATTGAGAGATGAACTTCTTGCGTAGATCGGGTGGTATTTCCAAAAGAGATTGCATCAGAGACGAGACGGTACTTACGATCATGGATGTCTGATAGATTCCCGAAGGGTTATAGTTCGATAGAGGACAGAAAGCGGTTAGATGTCATAGAGAGTCAAGAAATGCTTTGCAGCGTTATTTATATATTTGTAAGTCATATCAATGCCTTTACTTTGGCTTGCGTTGAACATGGTTTTTTTGTGAGCGGGAAGTTAGATCTTATTGATTATAATGTAAATTTTTATTAAAGACGTTTATTTCTCAGGCATGAGTTAATCTTGGAATTTTGTAGCTCGACTCAACTGAGCCAAAGTTATAAAAGTGTGTATGGCACTACACCGAGCGACGATATGAATGACTCCAGTTGGAACTGTTTTGGAAAATAAAGAAGAAAAAAAAAACTATTTCTCACCGGAGAAGGTGAGCCTTTTTTTTTTTTTTTTTTTTTTTTTTTTTTTTTTTTTATAACAGTAAAATGAAGCGTGGATGAATCAGAACAAAGCAGCTTGAATCCACTTTCGTTTCCATATTATCAATGATCCCTCTCGTGGACGGTGGCAGTTTTATTTCATAACCTTGATCAATTTCAGGACCCACGAACATGAAGCAATGCAGAGAAAAGTGTCACAAGGAACATGGATGGGTTACGATTGATGGTAATGCCGTGCCAATTCAGGAGGGAGATTTCAAGAACAAGGAATGTAAGTGCGTACTCAGCCGCCTTTTAATCCAGCACCTAGGAACTGAATTTAAAACATTGTTTGATAAAGATCCAAGAGGGGGCAAGGAATGGTTGGCAGAAAAGGGTTATACACTCTCTAACACTCAGCCTCACGAAAACCATCCCCTTAACAAGATTGGAAATCACTCCCCCGACCATCCTGGAAAGCATTCCCACATCAACACAGGAAACGACCCCCGCTACAATATTGGAAAGCACATCTCCAGCAACAATGGAAAGCACTCGTCCGGTAAAGAAGAAAAGGGTTGTAAAAGACGTGATTCGACCTATACGGAATGCAGAGCTGAGTGTCACAAGAAACATGGATGGGTTATGATTGATGGTATTGCCGCGCCAATTTTGGAGGGAAATTTCAAGGACAAGAAATGTGAGTGCGTAATCAGCCCTTCTTTAATTAGTCACCTGGGAGAAAGGAATTTAGATACCATCGAATTTACACGTTTGTTCAAGAAAAATCCAGAAGAGGGCATGACATGGTTAGAAAAAAAGGGTTTTAAAAGATGTGATGCAAATTCCGACCCCTCTGGATGTCACTCCCCCGACAGTCCACAAAAGCACTCCTCCAGCTCAACTGAAAAGCACTCCACCAGCACAACTGAAAAGCACTCCTTCAGCGAAACTGGAAAGCACTCCGCCCGCACAACTGGAAATCACGCCTCCCCTGCTCAGGAGTCCGACGCTTCCACTCCACCTATGAAAAGGAGGCTGGCACGGAAGCCAGGATTTAAAAATCCGGGTCAAGAATGATAGAAAACCGCAGAACCCCGCCGAGCAGTGTCAAATCTAGTAAGGATGCCTCGCCATGAAATTTGAGGAGATGATCGTAGTATCGGAGACAGGAAACTTTAACAAGGGATCCTAAGGGTATGCTGAAATCACCCGACCTTTCTTTCAGTGAAGAATCATGAGAATTACAGATCAAGGAAAGGATACAATTTAGAAGATAGTATCGGAGACAGTTCCTCTTTAGATGCTCAATCAGTTCGTTGTTGAGGTGGCAATGGGCCTGTTGCAAACTTCAGTCAGAGCAAAAGGAAGAGTTGTTTCTTTCATTAAATGACTAAAAAATCACAGTGAGTAGATTCTTGTAGAAAATATCTCAAAAATCACGACGATGAGCGATTGTGCGCCTCGGGAATGTCTGAATTACACTCCTAATTTCTCAATCCGCGTGTGAAACACGCGCTTATTTAAGTATCGTGCCTCCAAAACGATACTACGGCCAAAGACATAAAGACGGAGCGCTCGTATCTAAAAGCACGGGGAAAAAGTGAAGCTAGGTTCGGCGCTGCGCGCTTGTGTGAGTGTGTAAATGAGCGCGGGAATCCATGGCGGCAAACGGAAATTTGATTTGAACTTGTCCTCTTGATTCTTGCACATTTCTTCTTTGAAACGTATTTTAAATTCCTAAAACGAATATACTAAGAAATTTCGGTCTGCGTCCTAATATAATACACCTACTTTTGCTCGGTAACAGGCAGTAATCTCAGATAAAGTTAGTTTTTCTTCTGCTCATGGTGGTTCTGCAGGTTCAAACAGGCCGTTACAGTTCTAGATCAACGTTACTCCCAAATGAAATGAATCGGTCGACGACGGACTGAAACTAACCTAAAGTTAAAAAAATATGAGTGTGTACCTGAATTTGGGCAAAAATCAACCTAAAATACTTTGTTTACGCAATTTTATTTATTAGTTCCCGCCCTACATTTGAATTCAAACATGTCCCGATTTCGCCGCCAATCCTCTAGCCAATAGTAGAGGTGATTGAGAAGGAGCTCTAGAAGCTTCATTTTTTGCTTTTAGTGCTCCGTCTTTATGTCTTTGACTACGGCATAGGCAGTAAGAGGAGTCGTTTCATCCAACCCTTGCGCACCAGGATGCTACACAACATTCAACATGGCTCACACCAACTCGCCAGAAAACACGTGCCAATACGGCGTTTTATCATCGGCTTGTTTACATTTAAATTTTCCGTAGGGTTCATTGAGGTTCCTTTAAGGTTTCACGGCTTTTCCTCACGATTTGCGCGCGGGAGCGTCACTGCGTTAGCCCTATTGAATATTGCGTGGCTACAGTGCGCAAGGTTTGGATGAAACGACTCCTCTTACTGCCTATGCCGTAGTATCGTTTTGGAGGCACGATACTTAAATAAGCGCGTGTTTCACACGCGGATTGAGAAATGGACCACTAGACAAGGTACGAATTTCAGCATTCTGATACATGTTTCGCAACCAAAATTTCACGTAGAACACGATACGCACAACGAAAATTACCAAAATCAACTCCTGACGAAGATATTTAATGATTCTTGATGCGTGAATTCAAACCACCCGCTCATGAAAACTCAATGCTCTACGTGATTCACATCGCGCGTTAAATGTTTATCATGATAGTCTCTGAGATGTAAACATTTTCAACTTCAATCTTGACACTTTGGCTCAGCTATAGCAAATTACCAATAGTTTGAACAACACATGGTGGAAAATGAACATTGCTCGATTGAGAAGCTTGCTGAAACCGTTGTAGTGCGCGATTTGACTCACGTAGAGCTTTGAGTTTCTTGTGAGCGGGCAGTTCAAATTCCTCGTAATCAGTGCGAAATAAAAACGTTAATATCTTCGTTAGAAGTTGATTTCGATAATTTTCGTAGTGTGAATCGTGTTCTGCGTGAAATTCTGGTTAAGAAACATGTATCAGATTGCTTAAATTCGTGCCTTGTCTAGTGGTCCATTAGGAGTGTAATTCAGACATTCCCGACGCGCACAATCGCTCATCATCGTGATTTTTGAGCTATTTTCTACAAGAATCTACTCACTGTGATTTTTGAGTCATTTTATGGAAGAAACAACTCTTCTTTTTGCTCTGACTGAAGTTTGCAACATGCCCATTGCCACCTCAACAACGAACTGATTGAGCATCTAAAGAGGAACTGTCTCCGATACTATCTTCTAAATTGTACCCTTTCCTTGATCTGTAATTCTCATGATTCTTCACTGAAAGAAAGGTCGGGTGATTTCAGCATACCCTTAGGATCTCTCGTTAAAGTTTCCTTTAGAATGAAATAGAATCTCGTTATTTCCTGTAGAATTAAACAGTTTTAATTTTACACGGAAAAAAACAGGGTAGTCGACACAACCAGCGGCTGGTGAAAAACGCGCCAGCTACCGTGCGGTAGTTACTATAACTACCGCGGTGGAGGTCACGACTAACCCGATAGTTGCATCAACATCCAAGGTTGTTGATGTAACTACAGGGTTCGTTGTGACCTCCACCGCGGTAGTTATCGTAACTACCGCACGGTAGCTGGCGCGTTTTTCACCAGCCGCTGGTTGTGTCGCCTACCCTGTTTTTTTCCGTGTAAAATTAAAACTGTTTAATTCTACAGGAAATAACGAGATTCTATTTCATTCTAAAGGAAACTTTAACGAGAGATCCTAAGGGTATGCTGAAATCACCCGACCTTTCTTTCAGTGAAGAATCATGAGAATTACAGATCAAGGAAAGGGTACAATTTAGAAGATAGTATCGGAGACAGTTCCTCTTTAGATGCTCAATCAGTTCGTTGTTGAGGTGGCAATGGGCATGTTGCAAACTTCAGTCAGAGCAAAAAGAAGAGTTGTTTCTTCCATAAAATGACTCAAAAATCACAGTGAGTAGATTCTTGTAGAAAATAGCTCAAAAATCACGATGATGAGCGATTGTGCGCGTCGGGAATGTCTGAATTACACTCCTAATGGACCACTAGACAAGGCACGAATTTAAGCAATCTGATACATGTTTCTTAACCAGAATTTCACGCAGAACACGATTCACACTACGAAAATTATCGAAATCAACTTCTAACGAAGATATTAACGTTTTTATTTCGCACTGATTACGAGGAATTTGAACTGCCCGCTCACAAGAAACTCAAAGCTCTACGTGAGTCAAATCGCGCACTACAACGGTTTCAGCAAGCTTCTCAATCGAGCAATGTTCATTTTCCACCATGTGTTGTTCAAACTATTGGTAATTTGCTATAGC